GCAATTTGTCGAGCTCCGAAGAGACATCGGCCATCATGGTGATAAACCTTAGCCACGGGCGTTGCGACATGATGTGCGCGGTTTCTATGCCCAAAAAGAATCAGAGCACGTGCCCCCTGTCAGTGTATATGCATTAATTCAGCGGGTGCATGCCCACATTCATTCGGGCATCTTGGAAGCTTGCTAAAGTAGTGACAGTGTGCACATTGCTCCAGGCGGCGGAGCAAAATGGTTGGTTTATTTTGATGGTAGCCTCTTCGCGCGTTGTCGGGGAAAAATCCGAAGGGAGGTTACTCAAGTTGACTGCCCTTTACAGACAAACCCAACAGATCGAAACAATGCGAGCCCTCGCTTGACAGCTGAGTGCCGCGCTTGCTGCCACCGAGCCAACCACCCCTGGGCATGCGAGCGCCCGTGTGCGAGGCTGTTCGCTGCGGCCACCCCAAGAAGTGATCCGAGTCCCTCTTAAATGGGCACCCCCGGATATTCAGACTTGGACCATTGTACTGGCAAGGGATTGACATCAAAAGTATAGGAATCGACCACGTTTGTTGCAGGCTTCAGATTGTGTTCAGCTCATGCTGGAAAGTGTTCTGGCACCCTGACGCAAACATGCATCCTCTGCGAAACAGACTATTCAGATGGCAAGGGGACTGTCCCCAATTCTAAGCCTCACGGACCCGTTCGGATTTGAGCAAGTGGCTCATCTGATTTTGCCTCCGGCTCAAGCGATCGAAGCAAAAAGCCAGCCTCCAAGGTTCTTTGTTGCAAACGATCTCGCGGCAAAAGTCGCGGTACGCCTGCACTTCCTGCCCCAAGTCTTCGCATGAGCAGCGAAAGTTGAACATTTGAAGAGTGCCCCAGGTCCCTCCCAAATGGCAACTCAACAAGGTACGACACGTGCCATTTCCGTGGCATCAGACCCCCCACGAGAGAGGGCACATCAATCCCATTCTTGGCAGTTATGCAAAGGGAACTTGGCTCTGCCGGCTCTGTTTTCTTTCTTCTGCCTGCTCTGTCTGGTCTGCCTGCCCTGCCTCTGCCTTCTGCCTGCTCCACGGTCTTGGATTTCGGGTACCAATCTGAAGACCCGGCAAGATTGCTGGCAATTGCAAGCCCAAGTCTCTCACTCGCTTCCATCAAAAACCCACGCCTCTTGTTCTGCATTCAAAAAGAGTCCCTTGACTCCAGACCGATCAAAGCAGCTCAAATAGTTCGTCACGCAGCCCAAGCAGCCAAAGCTATCAAGAGAGGCTGGGAGTTGCTTTCTTCGACTCGCCAGAAGTGCTGCCATGAAGCACTGTCAACCGTTTGCTGATTTTGTCCTGGGTAGGTGGACATCATTTACATGAGGATAGGTGACCACCAGCTAGTTTGAGGGTCCTTCCAACCATTAAACTTCGGCCGCCTCCGGTGACTGGCTGCACCCAAAAGGCCATATTGTCGCCAGTTCCCAGGTTCGGCTGACAGCTGGTCGAAAAAATGGGAGCAGGTTTTGGACTTCCTCTACCGGACCTGGGATGAGGGGTGTGGGGATAAGGTCAACCACTCGCATAATCGTTGCAGTCACCTTAGGGGTTAGAAATGGGACCAAATTCGAATGAACCTCGAGGGGTCGAAATCCCCCTCGCTCCAGGTTTTGGACCTCTTGGTAAATGTGGCCAAGGAGGGGAACTCCCATTTTAGGCAATCAAAAGTGTCTAACCCCGATTTGCACATCACCCTTCTCCCCCGCCTTTGCAGGCAGCTGCCGGTCCATGGCATGCTCCCGCAGCCAGGTCTTCAGCAGTTCGCATGCGAGGGTCTTGGGATTGGCGCCGTCCTTGCCCTCAGATGGTTTGGTCCAAACAACCGAAGCCATGTTGTTTGCCAACCCTCGACCAAACATAAACCTGATGAACGCAGGAATAAGGAATCAGCTGCAAGGTCCCGGCTGCTTGAGGGCCAGATTGTCCACTCGATGTCCCGAATCAGGCCCCAAAAGTCCCCCAGAACCATCCCAAGCGCCCTTAAAGGGAGCCCAAAGCTCAAGCGGCGGTCTTCTCCTGGTACGCTAAGATGGCGTCGTAGGACGCCTGCACCTGCAAAGACCCAATATTCTATCAACACGTATTTGCTTTCTTGGCCATCCAGCAGTCCGGCATCAGGGCTCATGTTCATAGTTTCTGAAAATGTAGTGACTAATCTTGGCAAAGCAATCAATCCGAGGCACGTGCAGCACCGGCGTGGCGGACTGCAGCTTCTGCAGCGATGGCTCTACCGCCGTGAAGGTCTTGGGCAGAGCCAAGCCGCGGCGGCCCAAGCTCGCCCGCAGGGCCTCGAGCAAGGGACGCCGCTTGCGAGACCTCAGACCTCTCGCTTGGCTCGTTTGACCACCAAACCATAGAGGAAAGGTTCCTTGAACCTTCTTAGAGGGATCCTAAGGGTTTGAGCACTTTTATGGGGTCTCTCCTGGCTATCGAGGCTATGTAGGCATATTAAGATCTCGCCGCAAGCGCATCAGCTCAGCTAGACATGAGCTGAAACTGTGTGGGTGGCTGCTGGCAGGTAATTGAGCTTAGAGCATAAAGTTAAACTACAGATTGATGCAGATCTATGTATTATACAAATATAGTCACATAGCACAGGATTTACTATATAACAAGACATTTACGCCTATGAACCCGGAGTGGGTCTTTCCTCCTGAGCCGAATGACTACACTTTTGTAGGAATGAACAATCCCAAATTCCAGAAGACCCAAGCTTGGTTTTGCCGGAATCACTAAAGACCATAGAGAAGGACCAATCCCTGCCCCATCCCGTCTCCTGCTCGATGGCCTCGCACCTCGGCGCGGTTTGCCCTGTACGCTGGCAACGTGTGCCCGATTAAATGGTTGGTTTCTTTTGGTTTTTCCTCGAAACATTCATCTATTTTGTGGACACCTTGGTGGACCCGTTTCCCAAACTAGGAAACCCTTGCAGATGGTTTTCGTTTGCTTTTCGCTGCCTTTCAAACATCATCCAAAGGAGCGCATGTTGTTCGGACACCCCCATGTGCCTATGAATTTGCTCTGGTTGGACTCGTTTGCGGACATCAGAAAACCATGGGATTGAAGTCCACCAACCACTTGAGATGATGTTAACTACGATGCGTTGCCAAGTAGACCTGTGGCGAAGCGAATTGCCAGCGCTGACCCCAATTCCCTGGCTCAAGGTGCACTGAGCCGCCCAAAACGCCAACAGTTAGCTCCAAGCTGCGATGCATTTCCAGAAACGAGCCCTGCACGGGATTCCTGACATGTTCCTTTCAAGGCTCACTTCAGGCCATCTTTCACCCCACTTCCCAAGTTTTGACAAGGCACCGCGCTTTGCTCTTTCGATCGCTATACCCATCAGCCTTGGCCCGTTGAAGCGGCGCGCAAAGACTCCAGGAACCCATGTCGAATGGCACCATATGGCTATGGGTCAAAACCCCGTACCCCCAGTGAACATCCCAATCCCCACTAAAATAGACTAAAATGGGTGGTGCAGGTGTTGACCCTCCCCATATCTTGTCTTTGCCATATCTGCCAAGGGGTCCAAATGCCCGAGGAAGGGGAGAAGTAGGCATGTCCGCAGCGGGGGAAGCCTCGTTTCAGGGGCATTCAGCAGTTCATCGAAAAGCCCAATGTCCTAATGGCGATTTATTGAGTGGACCTGTCTTCATCCCCTTTGTACAGCGGAGGCCGACTAGACCCATACCACGGAACAAAACCGCATCCCTAACAGACCCGCCGATCGGTCACTTCCTGCACTAATGCTTTGGCCAAATGTTCCATGGTCCGAAGCCCGACCCGGTGCCCCGGCCCGTCTTCCTGGGATAGGTCTCAAAAATCACGCCAAAAAAAAAAATCAGAGCGCTTCCCTGCTCACGTCCATTTGAAACACCTTCCAAAAAATGGCATGCCACCCCCCACCCCCCCTCCCCCCCCCCCCCATTTGAAGGGGAGCGCCGCTTTCCCCTTACAACCCCGGGCTCCCCGACGATGCCCTTGAGGTAGTGAAAGCCCTCCACCGCCGCAGCGCCGGTGATGGCACCCCCCACCCCCACCAGGCCATGGGAGATGGCCATGAGCGAGGCTCCAAAGGCAAGAGATGTGAGCGTTCCTTTGATTTTGGTTTTTGGTTGGAAAGAAAGGCACTATGACTGTGAGTGCCCTGCTTTGGACAATGCAAGGCTTGCGAGGCTTGCGAGGCTTAAATGCGACCCATCTAAGGCAAAACGCAAAAGGTACCAATTACCGGAAGGTATTTCTATTTGTTCTCTGCATTTGTTTGCTTCCAGCAAGGACACGAATATCCAAAGCTCGAAACGTCATTTCAAGTCGGACCCAATTGGCCAAGCTTTGAGCCAATGGCTGAGACATTTGAGCAGTGCCCAGACGTGACGTGTGGTAACCGTAGATGTTTAAGGCGTCACCTTCCGCTCCATTCCCTGCGCCGGGGAATAGAACCCTCACTACATTGGCCACTCCACTGCTCTGAAACTAGCAGCCATATGAAAGATACAGCCACCAATTGGGTTCTCAAGAGAAGGTTGCGGCTCAGTTGAGACTCGCTTCCATCTCATGTTGTGCCACCTTTAACGAAACACCACACAGGGTGACCAAAACATTCTGTCAACCCAGCTCCATGAAGGAGGTTTCCGCACTGGACAGTATGATATTTGTGGACCGAACCAGTTGAGGAAAGCGAGGCACAAACGAATTATTGCTGTCGAACTTGGTTTACTGACGGCCTTCCTGCAATCCCGTCCCACTTTGGACCACTGCAAGCTTACCCTTCCTCCAAAAGATAACTGTACCAAACAAGCTCAGGCTGATCTTCATATCAAAATACACTTCGTGTGGGTGTGGGTCGAAGCCAAACATGTCTAGTATGACTATGCCCGAATCTCGGATTTGACAAGGCATCACATGCATCCCGCAAAAAAGTGGGCACTTCCCAAAAAAGAAATGTACGAACGCCTGAGCTCCCCTGGCATAGATCGGCGAGCCAGGGAAAAACTTCCGCAGCTGCCGCACCTGGCTGCGAGCCAATGCGCTCGGGCGGCGCGATGGCTCCAAGCCCCACGCAAGATTCCAGAAATCAAAGCCGTGGGCGAGTGTCACTTTGAAGCTTCTCGGTCCCTTCCAAACGCTAGAGGTTCACAATGACTCTGAAATGTGCTCGCGATTTACTTTTCAGTGTTTGCCCTTCCATGAGCTATGTCCACATGAACCACATAAGCCACGCCGTTTCCCGAGAGGCGATCTACCACCACGCCCACCTGAAAAATCACGGCTGCTGGGTCTGCATACACGTGCAAGTAAAAGCCGTACTTCCTTGGCAGTCAAGGCCTTCACTCGGAAAGGTGCATTCGGCCATTCGGAATGTGCGTTTGACTTGCTGCGCGCATTCTTGGCGGTCATGGTGTTTCTCCAGAGCAATGTTGCTTTGCAAGGGGTTCAATCGAAACGTTCAAACAACAAGAAGGATTCCTTGACAAAGCCAGGAAAGAAGACATGTCTGGGGGCCATTCCAAAAATACCTTTGCATGTACGCCGGGCTGCGAATCCTCAGAGCCTTCCATCCTGGTAGGCCTCAGTTTCAAAACCATTGATGTTCAAAACCTGGCAGTAAGGAAGAATATTCCGTCATGAATCAAAAGGGCGGCGACACCTTTTTTGGGTTGGGACTGTCTGCTAAACTTCATCTACCTGGATTTTGCTTGTGGCTCATGAGCTGTCAGTGGAGGAGTTTCCTCAGGCGCGGCACTCCACTGCCCTGCACAGCGTTGGCAGTTCGCAGGGCTTCGTTCTCAGCTCTGGGTGGTACCTGGCAGCAGAAACTCGGACACCTCTTGGTTTGACGTAGGTAGTGGCCAATTCTTGCACAAGATCTCTTGCGAGTGAGCAAGGCTGGCCAAAAGGGGCGAATGTCGGACGGGTCCTTCACTCTCAGAAGGGACGTCCACTTCTCAGAGTAAGCATGGCTGGCCAAGGTGGGACGTCCAAATTCAGTGTGAATTGAGAAGTGCCTCCAGTCCACACTTCGCCCAGCAAGCAGCAAGGCGCCTGTCCATGAGAATCTGAGAGTAGGTGAAGGGCAGACGGTTCGTGCACTTTGCCGAGCCCCAGTTCTCAATGTATCTCTCCTTAGCAATGCACCGAGACAAAATCCTTCGAACGTCCGAAGTCATGCGCCGAGTCTACCGGTGTTCTGCCATCAATGGTCAAACTTTTGACGAGTGTCAGCTGAGTTGTCTGCAAGCTGTGTCAACAACAACATACAGACTCTGAGATGGGTGAGGTTTCGTGAGTGAAAAGTCAGCTGAGCAATTTGCTTCACATGTAATTAGATTCTTCTCTCTTTCTACACCCGTGCTGGCCGTTTGCATCGACATTGCCCAGACTTGTGGTCACGAGACAGATTTAGATTGTTTTGCAGGGGGTGTATGTTCCTATCCCATCCCAGCACATACATCAATACATCAATACATCAATCAGGCAAGGCGCGAGATTATAGCAAAGTTGGCAATTGCCATTGGCCACGTTGTACTCTGCCGGCGCCGGTGCAGCCAAGGACTCGTCCTACGCAGCGCACAGTGCAGGGAGGAACCATGGACCACTCATGCAGAGTTCGTTCAGCACGTGCCGAAAAGGGCCAAAAAGAGGCATGACTTTCCACATTCAGTTGTATCCGGAACGTATACAAACTAAATTGTGTATATACATATATATATATACATGTGGGTAAGCCCGTGTCCACGAAATAAGGTTGTTGCGGGAGATCCTCTGACAAGATTTACGCAAACGGTCCGGCACAAGATCTGATATCGAGGCAAGTACTGTGCATCTGCAATGTCTTTTTGCAAGAGCTCGAAAAAAAAGTCCAGCTCTTGATTAGACACGATCTATAGGGTCTGGCACAAGTATCTCTTAATGAACCGGGTACCTTTAAGGACCTTGGCAGGATCTCTGGGCAAGATTTCTTGATAGGATCTTTGCGCAAGATGTTGAAAAGATCGATGCATACGATATTCTACTAGGCTCTAGAAATTAGATCCAGCGCAAGATGATTGCAGAGGATCTGTGCACAAGGTCGCAAGATTTTGCTACGTGATCTTTGCAGAAACTCTGTACAATAGTTTGTTGCGGAATTTGAAGGAAAAAACATCTACAAGCTCTGTGCAAGCGAAGCCTTACAGAAGGTCCTTTGAAGGCTTTTACAACATTTCTTGAGATGACTTATAAAGAATTGTCTGTAGACGGTCTCTTGGGGAAAACTCTAAATCGAGCGAACTCTGAACGAGCACCGTGCCACAGCGAGAGCGATTGGAGCCAGCAACTTTAAAGTCCGCACAAGGTTTGCTTGCGATGTTCAAAACTCTCACCGCGACACCACCGCGCCACAGAAAAAGCGAATAAACGCAGCCAAAGTCCGCAAAGGAAGCACTCCGACACAAACCTCGCAAAGGGAGCGTCAATCTACCGTTTGCGGACTTCGCACCGGCAGCGAGTGTGCACCCTCGCACCTGCGCAGGACGCGCTTCTTGCGGGAGCCTGCAGTCTCAAATGCACTTGTGCGATTTGGGATCGAACGAAAGAACCTTTGTGCCAACCCAGCTCATGCAAAGTGGTGCGGGCTAACCCTTACCGTCAGAACCTGCCTTAGTGTGCAAGACTGCTTGAAGAAAAGAAGCAAAAACAAGCGAAACCAGAAGTAAAGCAGCCACTTGGAGGTCTCTTGGAAAATAAGAAAACACCAACAACTCACAGCGAACCGTCCTCTGGCTTCAAGCTGAGTTGGTACGTGGGCTTGCCCCCAGGATAACAGGAGCCTCGGTGTGGGTCAAGGAGGAAATGTGAGCTGTTTTCTTTCTGAATTTACACTGGGGGCCAAGAGTGCATGCGAGTTGCTTTTGCACTCACAGCAGCTGTCTTCTTTTGGTTTACACATGTTCAATTGTCAAGCTAGACGGCGGCCGACCAAAAATTCGAGTGAATGAGCTGCTGTTTTCCTTTAAACCACATTAGCTGAAGTCCCATTGTCGATCAGCCGAGCAAACCGAGCCACTTCAAAGCAGCATACATGAGCTTTTGTTCTTTGGGACCTCACTCTCTAGCTTGCTAACCAGCCAAGCACGCAAGTGGGCAAGCTGGTCGCCCAGCTACAAAATGCACAAATTTCTGCAAATGCAATAAATCACACAAGCGAATGTGAATTCAATAGAATAACACCGGTTCGCTCAAGCATATGCTTGCTGGGCTGGTCGCCGGTCACCGAGCTTGCCAATCAATACACTAGTAAATCCGAAAGATATCCCCAATTTGTTCAGACCAACCTCGCAATAACTTGCCAATACCCGACCAATACTAAACCAATAGCGTCGACCTCGTCTGCATTCGTATTACGGGGGTACGGGGTACCTCGCAACACTTTCGCAGGCACTTTTGAAGAAGCAGTATGTAGACAGTTGGTTTGCCATCAAGACCAAGCGTATCTGTCTTTGCATAAGCCAGGACCTGGAGTTGGTGTGGACTTGGCTATGCATGGCTCCGCTGAAAAAGAATGCTAGCATTTGCAGAATGCCCCTGGTACCGGTGAATTTGGGATGGCCCCAACCCTCATCTTATGCCACTAAATTGACTATCCATTGTTGTTTGCGGGGCATCTTCTTTGTGGACGGGCGATGATTGCGGGGAAAGATGGGAATGCCATTGTTGTGAAAAATGAGCCCTCTCTGTCTTTCGGCGATACCAAAGAGTTCCATGACCACTTTGTCACTTTAGCAGAGTTGCGTTGGTATCACAGAAAATAGTTCCATCACGTTGTTCAAGTTACTTTGTTTCGTTGCACCCTGGCAACCCCAAGACACAACTGGCCGAGCTGCAATAATGCCGGAAGGCTGCATCCTTTGACCCCTCCAGCGGCATGTCCTGGAGGCGAAATCCGGCGTGGAAAACCCCAAATGACCACCCAACTGTTTTGCCGGATCTTCGGATGCCTTTCCAAACCTCTGAGTCTGGCGCGTTGCAGTATTCATCTACTGTCGAGTCGATGACAATGAGATCCGTCTTGCTTGTCATGGACAGGTTGGTTTCAGGTGGGGGGCTTTTCCGAGTCTCCTTGTCTTTGTCCATCTGAGCCACCTCTTCCCAGCTCCCAACCACCCAGCCGCGAGCTGCAAGTGCATATTGCCTCAGAAGGATCATGTGGCTTTGTCCGAAGCAATGCAGGGGGCAAGAATGGCATCCGGATCTAGTCCTAAGCAAGCCACTGCTTCAAGGTGACCAAATCAAGCTGGCCTGGCAACAAGGATTGGCTCAGATCCTCAAACAAAGGCATCTTGATTCAGTTGGATTTGCCAGAGACGTGTGCGGCATGCATTTCGAAACTTTGGCGCGAACGTTCTGGGGTACTGGCAGGGCGAAGTCGGAAGAGAAGACCTCTTTGTCCGTCTTCTCTGCCAACATGTTCCAGTCGATCCTTACTTGAAAGGTCAAGTTGTCTGACAGATTTTGACAAGGGTTGTCGAGACGTGTACACTTCCTCAGATCATGAGCAAACAAGTTATCAAGTTGAGGCTCCGCATCACCTGCTCGTCAGCGAGGGCATCCTCGGCAAGAGACCCAAAAAATGAGTTCAAGCCTGAACAAGTGCATTAGCCACTATTGCTATCAAACATGCTTTGTCGTTCCGAAGTTGGATGATGGAGAATCACATATGTTACAATTGTTCGTGCTCATCATGTTCCAAGGTTGGAAGATTCACTGAGTTCACCCCTTCCTGTTTTGTCTGACTTCCTCGAGCAATCCTATCATTGCATCCCGAGTCCAACTGTGCTGAAATCAGCGACCCTCTTTTGGCCGGCTGGACGTTTTGGGCCTCGACTCAAATCATGAAGAACCCACCATGGATCAACACATCGTTTAGAGCGTGCTAACTCAACCGAGAAGTGAGGTCCAAGAAGAAAAAGGAGAAAAAAACGTCGCCATTTTGGGTGTCAAAGCGTTGGATCCTTTTGAGATCAAATAAGCACGAGGCTTGACGTCTACCAATTCCTTTTCGGTTCAGCTGCCAGCACTGCCTCGGAGCGGAAGTAAGCGCCTCCACAGAGCCCGGCTTTCATGGACTCCTCACTCCACCGGAATCCAGGCACCTTGGCAACTGCAGCCCAAAGGTGTGTCCCTTGTCGGAGTTGTCATCTGTTTTGGAGTTCGAAACGGATTCCAAATGGAAACCACACCACCGGTTTTGGAGGTGCCCTCATTCACAGACACACTCATGCAACTCTGCAATGCCAGATACAGCATCCACGCATTGAACCAACCACCGACAAGCCGGGAAATGTCCTGAATCTCCAATTTTCTTGCAAAGCACAAAATCCAGCGTGCAGTCACCAAAGTGAAGCAATTCAAATTCATGACATCATCCAGTCAACTGCTGTCAGCATTGCTGGGCAACATCACTAAACCTTATCTTTAAAGAGTGAACAAAACGATTGTCAAAAGCATGTTTTCTTTACAAATATGCGCCTGCGTCCCCAAATCTAGCCCGTGCTGCTTCACGTTTCTACCTCCCCCTTTTGGATGGTTGGTAATCCTGATAAGGCCCACAAGTCCACTTTTAAAAGGAGAGTCAAGAGAAAAAGCGCTTGAGGCTTTTCCATGCACTTGTCCCAGGAGAAAAAAAAACTAGAATGACAACCCTAAAGAGGGTTTCTTCACTCTTCGGGCTCTCTTCTTAAACCACCCCGTTCCACATAGCTCGCCTTCCGCACTTTTTTGACCGTATGTAGTTCACATGCAGGTTCTGATTATTATTATTTTTGTTTAATGTAGCTTGCACGCAGCTTGGGTGTGTCTTTGAGGGCACCTGTTTGCGATGTTTGAGCTGGAATTGCTTTTTTTTTCAAAGCCTATGGCTGCGAATCACCGAATCGCTCTGCCGAGGCGCCCGTTCCTGCGCCAGCTGCTCGACATGTTCTTTGAACATGAAGGAGCGTTTCCTAGGGAGGAGGAGGCACCCCGGAAAGAGGAAAAGCAAAATCTAAAAGGCCGTTCTAAGGCAGGGGACAAGAAGGGGCAATCAAAATTGAGCACTGTATCTCTTGACGCCAGGGTCTTTGGACAAGACATGCAGAATCATTTTGAGTCATGAACAAAACCACTGGCGCGTATCCATGGCAAGAACTGTGTTGGGTTTAGAGGAAGCGGCTGAAACTTTGAAAAGGCGCCTTGGCCAAAGAGTGCTCACGCGAGGTCTGTTGAGCCCCCCCCAACCAATATGAAAACAAAGAACGGGGGATGGTTAAGGCCCCCTGTATGAGAGTTAGGCTAAACAGGGGAGTCGACGTACTTTTGCAGTTGCAGTTTCTCTTGCTGCAACAGCTGCGACTCTTGATTGATAGGGGTTGCCTCCTTTAGATGGATGCTAACAATAATATGTACAACGTGGCGGGAGCAATCTGTCCATCAGGCTAAAGGGCATGGGGTTGTCAATCACGCAAATATAGTCATACATGTTCCTTGACTTTCGCAAACTGAAAGGCATCCATCGAGTAACAAAGAACCTGGCAATAAAAGCATGTACAAAACAGAAGAATCGCAGGGAGCGGAAAGCTGTCCGCACCCCTTCACGCCCAAACGGCAAACTGTCTGCCAACCTTCCGGCCAAGCTCTTTGCAGCTGGACGGCGGCACGCGCACACCGCCCGCTGCATGCAGAGGAGCATGCTGGATGGGCCCATGCAGCGTGTTGTCGGGCTCCTGACGGTTTTTTTCGAAATCCCGGCCGTCCGCCAAAGGTAGGGCGGATTCCAATCACGGTAGATTTAAAGCAAAGTAATTTAACCACATCTCGCCACAACTACGAGTGCCCGTACATGCAATATTTAGGGATGCACCGCACAGATCATGAAGATTCTAAGAGCGGAAAGTGGCAGTCTTTCAAAACCAAGGGCGCGCAACTTTCGTCCAAAACCAGCCACATGTCCTCGTAAGGCTTACGTTGCTGCAGATGGTCCCAACCCAGACCTTACGTGTGGCAGCTTGAGACCTTCCTCTGAATCATTTGCACAGCGTGGGTACTTGACCCAAAGCCTACAGCGTCATGTGTAAACCCCCAAGTCCAGCATGATGATGAACTCGGTGTTGAGGGTCAACGCTGCGTCGTACATACCTTGGCATAATCGTGTGCGACTATCTCAAAATGGGCAGAAAAGAGGGGTTGTTTCAAAAGCATGGAAATCCCTTAGAGCACTGGGGTCCCTGTTGCAATGCTTGAGCACGGCGCCAAAGCATTGCTTGAACCTCGTGCTTTTCCTTGCCACAACAGCCTAGTCTTGAACCATCTTTGCCCCCTCCCTATCCAGGCTGCGCCGAAAGAAAGGCCACGGATGCCAGCCTGGCAAAGCGGGGATATCTCCAGAAAGTTGGCCAAACACCGACAAAAAAACTGACATATTTACCAAGTTCCTGCAGATTTGCCTGAAGCTTGTTTCTGAGCATTAACAGCACAGGGAAACTGTTGATTCCTAACGCGGGATTTTATTTTCCCATGGCTCGTGGTTGGTTAGCTAGGGAACTTCCTCATGCCTGCTCCCCAACCATCCATCTTCAAGTCAAACATCACAATTGCAAGTAGCGGCCTCACCACCGAGTCAGGAACACAATGAGCTTTATGTCCCCAACCCCGTTATTCATGGGGTTCTCAATAAAAGCCTGGCCATTTCTTCTTGCTTCGCCTCATACGTACCTGGCTGGAGAAACCTAAAGTGTGCAGGAGCCAAACACGCCAGCGACACGATCGTTGGCTGGCGGGCACAGCCTCAGCTTGGCAGCTCAAGGAGCCACAGGCATCTCTCTGATCTAACGAATTTTCAAGCTTTCCAGGGAACCGCTTTGCCACAAAGGGTAAGAGCAGGGAATCCATCTTTGGAGCTATGCAAAGAGGCTTTAGCTTGTGCTGCCATTGAACCAAATAGCCTCAGACCAGACAGTAGAACCCCCTACCAAATAAGCCAACAGGAATAATCATGGCTCACATGCTCTTCCTGCTCTTAGAGCTGCTGCTGGGGAGCGCGAAAACGCAGCCCTCTTGCTGGCAGAGGTTGTGGAAATCCATGCCGCCGTCACTCATGACCTGAGGTGCTCTCTCACTCGGACCAGTCTGTCCGATTCAAACAACACTTGGGTCAAACAACACTTGGATTGTGCACCAAGCTTCTACCCTTGGGCCCCAGCGTAGATAGGCGACTCGGGAAAGTGTACTTTTACCTGATGGCAAAGCATGTGCTTCAAGCATGGGGGGCCAAGTCGGCAAGCTTCCTGCCATAGCAGATTGATCGTAGGCTACACAATCGAACATAGCCATTGAATCTCACTAAAATGCCTGCGCGAAAGAACTACAAGCCACAGAAAAGAGCTCAATGAAGAGTTGCTGTATAGCCCTCGGGTCGTGTTCGCATTTACCGGATCCAAACAACCCTTCGTCGTATACCAGAAGAGGAGGGCCCATGGCCTCTGAAGATTGTCCTGGCCGAGGAGGGCCACCAAACCCTGCCTGGCGAACCTGGTGGATCACCGCTGCGGGGTCCGCGTACACATGGAGGTAAAAGCCGAACCGCGAAGATGCCCTGAGACCGCGATTGCATTTTATGAATGGGAAGGGTCTAGGAGACTAGATACTTCAAAGGGTACCCCCAAATCAGCAAACCCCAGAAGGAAAATGAGATTCATGCCCCTTAGTCTGCCAATCGCTCCATTCACCCCGAAACGGACCTTCACTATGGGAAAGCTCGTTTCGGCCCAAAAGAGCTTATTTCATGCTTGCACATTATCCTATATGTACAGCAACATAGTACACACCGATGACAACAAAGACCTTTTCATCCGGCCTTGACGCTTCCTTTCCAAGCTTTTTGAAGAGGATACACTAGCATGATTCATCACATCATCGAAATCCTCCTTTTATTCCACTAATTCAGTGTCCAAAACAATATATATATTTATGTCACTGGTCTGACTGGACATCAAAATGATGTTAATAACAAAAAAAATAAGAAGAAGAAGAAGAAGACTGAGAAATTGGATTTAAGTTCATTTGAACAAAGTGCAATTATGTTTGTGTCTAATTATGCATAATGTCAAATTAATTTGCAAATTGCAACTTGTATTACGTTTCATGTATGAATCCAAAAACATTGGACTAGTGCAAACTGGACACAAAGCTGACTGTTGAGCCAATCAGCCTGGCGGATTTTGATCAGTTCAAAAAGTGGTACGGAGAGCCCTCTAAATGGGCACTCCCCGAAGCTCAAGAGGGGGCCGAAAACCCATGACTGAAACTGCTCGAGTGCTGCGGGATGAAATTTCTGTGTCAATGACAAAAGCCACCTGGTCCGCTGCTGGGGAAATTCGGGAAGCTATATGACATTCGACGTGAAATGCAAGATTGCCCTCGAAACAAAAAGGCGCGAAAGCCAAAAGACACAGCTGTAGCCTCTAGAAAGGGATGGGACGAGCTTAGCACATACTCTCGACAAACTGGCTCGCAAGCAGCGAGCTAAATGATGTGTTTTGATTGTGCAAGAACCGATTTGCTGCAAGCCTGAAACTATATATCAATCAATGTAGAACAATCCGCCAAAAAGTAAACAAATTGTGTAACGGGCAACATCAAATAGGCTACAAAGTACTGTATATATATATATATATATGTGTACATAAATATACATATATATATATATATATATAATTATGTGTGTGTATCGTCTAAAAACAATGAAACCTACTGCTTTAGGGGGTAGCTGTTGTTGCCGTAGTTGAACCAATCCTTTACATTGATGTTCAGTGCGCTATATATATATATACATACATAGTTGTTTAACAACATTCTTGAAACAATCACTTGTTGCTGTTGCATAAGTTGATGATATAACCCTAACATAATGTATTGTTAATACAGCAGCTATGAACAAAGCCAATGTTGCCATCTTGTTTTCAGCTGAACGCCTTTTGCTGCCTGGTGGCAAGGGATCACCTCGCGGCCGCATCCACGAAGCTGAGCCCTGCCGCGACGTTACGCGGCGTGGCAGCTGTAAACCCCTCTGACGTACATGTCCATTCTACGGCCGTTGGTTTTCCTGCAATATGGCTGTGGTTCAAAACCAATGGTACCATTTTGAGGTAGGTGCACCACCAATTTTAGAATCTATTTTAGTGGGAATTGGGATGTTCACTGGGGGTACGATTTGGCTTTTGACCCATGGCCATATGTCGGGAATCAACGTGAACATCTCCGGGGCTCAAGGCAACCAGCTAAGCAACTGGAGAGAGGCAATCTCAGAGTTGGAATTTCTGGACCCCCCAGGGTTCCTTATCAACCTCAGGCCCAAAAGTCATGAGGAAGGAAGATCAGGCAAATCTGGCTCCTGGCCAGATTGGGGTGCGAAAAAACCTAAGACTACTTTGGGCGATTTCCAATGGGAAGTTGTATAGTTTTTGGTTTTTGCTTATCTCGTTCGTGAAGCTGTCTGACGCTTGCCTTTTGGGGGTTCACTAAAAAGGAACGGAAAGACATATTTCTCTGCAGAGAGTTTAGCATCTCTCCCTCTCTCTCTCATTTGAATGTCGAGGGGCCTTGATTCTGGGTTCAACATTGCTGCGGGTTGACCTGGGATTCGGCAAGTTTCGAATGGCTGGACCGGCGGCCATCAAGCTGTCGTCTATGCGTGTGTACAGATACCGGCAACTTTGGACCCAGGAAGGTTAGTTCAGTATGCAGAAAATTTGGGGACAGATTCAATCTGACATGTACACCCAAGTATGAGGGTGTCAAATGTCACTCCCATTTCGTGGCGCTTGCCAGACAAGGGCCATATGGGGGTAGGCTTAACTTCGACTGGGGATCGCACGGCGGGATACAGCTCACCACACGTGCTTTGCAGCCCCAAGACTCTTTCGAGGCTTGGACTACGAGCTATTGTTGCGGCTTTAAACTGGTATACTTTCTTGGAAGGGATGGCTCAGCACCAGCTCGATGCAATTCATGTGCCGGAACCATCCGTGATTAGTATGGTCCCCCTTCTGATTAATCCGAAGCTTACATGAGGTGTGTGCCAGTTAAAGCTGGGGTCTTCTTTCTATGGTGCCCTATTTTGTCTTGTTTCGAAGGTAAACCAAAAGGATTCGAGGTCCCCGTTTCGGGGTCCAACCATCACATTGCGCCTCCTTGGATGTCTCTGGCGGCTGAGGCCAACTGGGACTCGGTGGACTCGGTGGACTCGGTGGACTCGGTGGACTCAGTGCAAAAGAGGATGTCAGCCGCGGCTTCCGGCGAGAAAGTTTGCTCGTTGGTTCTGGTCGCTGGCCTTCCTTGCATCCCCAGTTCTCTAACACACCAAAAAGCAACTCCGTCCAATTGTGGACCCACCGAAAGGGAGAAATATGGAGAACCGCCTTCAGTCCTCACTCCTCGCTTTGACTTTTTCGCAGTCTGGCACCTGCCCCCAGCTTGGCGTCCCGTCCTGTGCCCCAAAGCCTCCAACGCAGCCTGCACTGCCGAAGAGCTGGGCCTTGGAGGGTGGCCAGAGAACATGGGCGAGGTGCCCTGCCAGCTCCTTTGTCCATGTCCCGTTGCGCACTCACAAGGGCCCTGCGCCCTGCGCACCGACAAGTTCGTCAAAAGCAACGGCAGCATCCCCGTCTATAACTGGATCCTACACAGGCATCCTGTGGGCTAGCGCCCGCAGGCTAGCATTCTGTGGGCTAGTCAACAGCCAGAATCACATGCAGGTCCTGTCAGAAGGGACGAGACCACGCAGCGCTGCATTCATGATAGCAGAAATCCCTGTCATGATGCAGCCTGATCTGGAACATGAAAGTGACCATATACGTTGTGTGTGTGTGTGCAATGCTGCTAGTGCCGTATGACTCGCCAAGAAAACAACTCGGCAATGGAAGAGGCTCCGGCTATGATATCAACACACATGCCAAAGCTACTTTGGATTCACAAAACTCTGCTCACAACTCTTGAGACTTGCAATCCCGCCCAGCCAACCACAACCTTGAGCAGTACCAGTGATCCTGTTGCCACCGTTTTAAGCATAGCTCGGGAAAAAAATGGAGGCTGTGTATCCTCTCAACAAGATTGTCCTAGGAAATACACAAAAATCTGAACTGGGCACGTCCCGGCACCCTGCCTTGTGCCTCGCTCAACGTTCACGTCTCGCACCGAGAGCACCCCCAACCTGATGCTCTGGCGAGAACTGTTGGGTTTGTATCTGCCAAGAAACAAGTCGATTTTTGGGACCTTGGCTGGATTTGGGTTTTAGGGCGCAAGATCCATGTTCGGTCGACTTTTGGTTTGGGGATATCTCTGACCCCTGGAGTCCCTGGAGGAAAATGGCGCACGCGTTATGTCAATGTCAGTACCAGCATAAGAATCACGGCAGCGAAAGCACAACAGCTGCACTTTGTCACTGGCCTTAAAACCTTATTTCCCACAATCGCGCTGGGAAGCAAGTGAAAGTGCGATAAAGCACAAACAGCAGGTGTCACTGCTTCTGGCTTTGCAAAACAGTTTCAATATTCCCATCATCATCATTTGATAGCAACAGTTCAAACTGTTTTCGCAACAATGATTTAATAATTGCCTCCTGAAGCCAGCCAAGTGGAGAAGTCCCTAATTTTGACACCATATGTTCGTGCCATTCCTCTTTGCACCTGCACAAATCACAGACCGGAACTGGACATGCCTCTTCCAACAGGTCCATAAGCTAGTCAGTGAAACCTTTGTCATGTTCGAGGGTAAGCACAAAGTGTTCAGAATCGGGTCTGAAAGGAGTCTACCGCACACCAACAAATAAACATCACCGTAAAAGCGGATATCGGCTCCTGTTGATAGAGAGGGGACCGTCCCCCACTAGCAGTCAGAGCATTCGTCTAACCAGGTTTGGCTCAGCTTCCTGTGAGAGATTTGAAAAGCGGCGAGCTATTCAACATCTATGGGACCAAGGGACAAGGTGCAATCGGATCCAACACCCCGGGCTCGTCGTGGAAAATGGCCCCCGCTGCATGGGGCTCCCACCCACTATGCCGAGGCCGTGGCAGCAGGATGAGACCCAGGACGCCAACAACCTAAGGGCCGTTGCACTCGACGAAGGCGTTTTTGTCGCCTTTCCAGCCAGAGGTGATTCATCCGAACACTCCTTAGCAGTATGGGTATGCATCACCTTGCGAAGGGGATTGACGCCCACCCAGTTCTAGGTCCTTCCAGCCCTTGAGATTCATACGAAAAGCAGAAGACCTGAAGAGCGCCATGTGGATGATGTCCAAGGGCCCCTGATTAGAATCATAAACACATGACGGTACCCAATTCTCCCATGTCTCTTGGAGGAAACACGTACAGTAATGTTGTCCGTGGCTCACACGTGTTGCCTTCCGTTTTCGGACGTGGGAATAAGATGAGCCTAAACGTCAATCGCTGCAGCATTGTTTCCCTCGATGTAGCAGGCCATTCAATCTGGCTTTTGGCATTCTGCGGCATGCTGGCTTGGCGGATTCTTAGACTGGCCCTTGGAATGTCGGCAAAGATCAAGCGTTCTTTGCGGTTGCAAGCCAATGATCCCGGGATTCTCTTGGGTTTCGGGTAGCTAAGTAAAAGCCGCTCGTTGAATCTGTATTCTCGGACCCTAAAAGTCGGATCGATGTAGCTGAATGGGCTTCTCATCAACCTCATGGGTATGTCTTCAATAAACCTGGTTGGCTCCAGACCATCCAACATGGTCCTATTTGTGCGCCGCCTACCTTTGGTGGTTGTGGGAAATTTGGGTGACCAATCATGTCCTTCCCAAACTAAGAATAGACCAACAGTTGCAAAAGGGTGCCCTCGAACAAGCACACCCATTCCCTTTTCGGTCCAGGCACAGTTTTCCATGGCCACAGACTTGTGGCACGCTTCGGCATGCCCATAGCACAGAATGCCCGCGAGGCACGGAAGACTTGAAAAGCAAACGATTGGAACCTCGGTCCATTTCACCTGACTCAGAACCAACACCTAGGATTAAAGACGAAGAAGTCTACTCAAAACCATATAAAGTGTCCAAAGGGCGGCCTTACCTAACCGTGCGTCGCCTCGGCTATTGAGCGTCATTTCAGACTGTCACCACAAGCCCTCTTTTTGTGCCTTCCACCCCAGTCTGCAAGTCCACCAGTGCTCATAAGCCCGTGTAGCTTCTGCTTGCCTCCGGTCTTGCGCTTGCAACAGACTTCTGCCGTTTGCTTCAGGTGCCGAGTCCATGTGCCGTCCCGGGCTCCGACATGAAGCTGCTTGAAGCCCAACGAGCAAATGCGGCGGATGGAAGTGAGCACCCTCCACTGCACGCAAGAGCGTGCCAAGTGCCAAAAGGTGTGCCGGGATACGCCCTGCTTTTCCGCCTCCGTATCAGGCGGAAATCTGGAGACCCAGGTCACTTCTTCTGCTTCAAGCTCTGCAAGGCTTGCACGGCTGCCTTCAAGCTCACACATGTGGCTGGATTTGTCAGATACGCATCCAAAAAGGAAACCCCTCTTCGTTTCTACCGGACCTTGGAAACACGGTTTTTTTTGCGCTGCAGTTTGCCCCAACGGCAAAACCCCGCGCAAGCGACGCCTCTGGCTTGGCCATGCTCAGCTCCGACAGCTTCTGCCTCCGAGACCCGCTTTTCGTCGCGACCGATGGGAGCCCGAGAGCCGCCCCGTGGCCCCAAAGCTGTAAAGCCCCTGGGCCCCTCAAAAAGGGCTCCAAGTTGTTCATTGTCCCAAGGCCAGGTCAAAAGTCCTCCCTTGGTTGAAGTCTGGCTTAACCAAAAACGAACCCTGTCCCTTAAAGAAATAGATGCCGGTCTTCAATACATGCCTAAGTGAGTCACACACAAAATCTGACAACTTTGACGAGTCCACCCAAAAGCCGTGGTAAAGAAATCCAAAGGGCAAAAAGCCAAACATATTTCTGGTTGAAACTGCCCGCCTACTAGCATTATCTACCCAGATCGACTGTTTCTGACTCCAAAGAAAGTTGCGCCTGCTGCTGAACTATGGAATGAACACTAAAATGCTTCAAACCAACCCGACCCCCCCGCCCCACCCCAATTGTTGGCTTCGTGCCCCTCAGAATCCTCGAAGCACATGGGGACCGCTTGAGGGGCATCAGAAACTCACGTTGTTTTGTCCACTAGCCCGTTTGCAAATCACTGCCGCAATGCGGCCCAGGCACATGAAGAGGCCACCATCACGGATGCGGGTGTCCAGGGAAGACTGGGTGCCCTGACGCCGTGTGCGCCCTGAGACTGGGGTCTGCATAAGGCCACAAGACCTGTATGGGTATGTCACAAATGGGTGGTGTCCGCTGAATTCCCTTCCTTGGAAACAGCTTCAAGAAGCGTACCCTTTGAAACAAAAACACCCAAATGGCTTGAACCCCTTTTTGCTGTGACCTCTCCCGCTTTGCTCTTGAAAAACACCCCTAGGTCATAGGTGTTCATCCCACACCAAGCCCAGTTGCTTGCTTTACGCAAGTCCTCTTCGCGGGTGTCATCCGTGGCCGGGCAGCAAATCGGTTGTTAAGTTTAAGTTTCCCTTCCATGTATCTCACCAATTGGGCCAATCCGGCTGACCGACCATGCTTTGCCCACAGTCTCAAGCTAGCAAAGGTCCGGCGCAAGGATACCGTCCTTTACTTCAAGGAAGTCTCAGTATACTCTTATCTCTCTCTCGCGTTGCTGCCTCTCTTTTTCTGAACTTCCGCATCCACTCAAGGACGTCCATGCTTCCGTGCCTGCAAGTGCTTGTCTGCAGCTTCCAGTCTGGTGCGGTAGGACTGCATCTTCTCCAAGGTCTCTTGCAGCACCTCTCCGAAGGCAAAGAGAACCAACCCAAACCAAAACCAGACTTGGACTTGCAGAAAAAAAAAGAAAAAGAAAAAAAGCACTTGCAAAAGAAACTTAAAAAGAGCTCTTTGGCTTGGCATTCCCCACCCTTGCGAAAGTAATATCCCAGTCCAAAGGGCAGAGGACTTCGAAACGCCGAAGGTAAAGATTCGAGGCAGGAAACCAACCGTGCATGTCTGTGGAATACTCACACAAACGTACGAAGGAATGAAAGGGAAATCAGAAAAGCAGCACCGTGGTGATTGTCAGCTGAGCTGCCATGCGCGTCAAAGCCTTCGCGCAAAAACAACCGCAGTAGTCCAAACACAAACACGGCAATGTTCTGGGGAACCTACCAGGCGCTCATGATTGTGAACGTTGACACATGCTGCTTGCTCAGATTTGCTATGATGAGAGCTGTTGCCGTTACTCTCTTGAATGGGACAAAGCATGATCTCTTGCAAACCTAAAGGAAGAATTGGCATTCGACGCAGCTCTAAGTGCTCAAAGCTCGCACGAAACATGATCAAAACGCAGCATCAAAGCAGTTGACCCAGAACTCGTGGTGAGGAACCAAAAGGGGAGGAAAGCGACACCTTCTTGTGGTCGTGTCCCCCTACCAAACTTCAGCTACCCATTCATGATTAAAGAAGTGGCCCACATCCCGCGGGAAGAATGCAACTATTGGTTCACATAGCTATGATCCTCAGTGGTGAACACCCTCCAACATGCTTGGCAGACAGAAATCCCTATGAAATTTCTGACTTCCAAAGGAACCCCGAAGAAAAACATCAAGGTGTACCCGCATTGAGCCCCCGAGTCCCCTTCTCCGTGCCTTCTGCTGGCTCAGCAGCGCCTTGTGCCTCCTGACCTTGGGGTCGAACTTTCTCAACCCGCCCGACACAAAACCTTGGCATCAGAACCAAAGGACCAAAGGACCAAAGGACCAAAGGACCAAAGGACCAAAGGACCAAAGGACCAAAGGACCAAGAAAATCAAAGAGAGGACAAGCACTGTGATTGGCTTCATGTTTCTCCAAGCCAGGGGACAACTCTGCGTGCGCGAAAAGATGCTTTGCTCAACCTGACCCGCAGCCAAACTCCCTCTGGGAGGCCAAACGCCAGTCTGGAAGGCAGTGCGAAAGAGGCCCTTCAATTTCGCCTCGCTGTCCTGTGGCGAACTGCACGGGCATGGTGTTTAAACAAATTGATCCCCGTGATGAACAACCCGATTGTCAAAACGAAGTCTGGGCAGGAGACGAAGCATCCAAACTAATGCCCGCCTGTTTCTTCCAGCGCATGGTTTAGATGTTGCTTTTGTGGAGTCGCCCCCACCCCTTTGGGGCATTGCACACTAAGAGAGAACCAACCCGCATCCAAACCGTTTCCAAAGATTAGCTTGCTGTTTTTGGCTTTGCTGTGCTGTGCTGCAGCAAACAAATGAGCTTTTCCTTCTGAACACTCTGCTCCAAAGCTGCTTGCAAAAAATCCGCCAACATGCGTCTCAGCCAGTGGGCACAGCTCGCCCTTGTGACCAGGCTCTTGGAAATGTTCAACAGAGCCAAACAGCTCAACTCACGTCCTGCCCTTGCGAGTCAAGTCGTTCTGGCCGACGATCATTAAAACAATGTGTCAAAAGTGTAGAGCTGCGTGCGGTGGCGACATGTGGTGGACAAGTGATTGTACTGCAAAAACGCTACCTTGAGTTGCTGGGCGGTGATCCCCAGCATCATGAACAAAATGGTTCTTAATGAGTCACCTTCATGTTGGTCTGTGAAAGCGTTGACATGGTCATGCATTGTTGGACCGAGTGCATCGCCATATTCAAGAAGAGAGAGTCGTGTTGCTCCAAGGGATCACAGGCAACTGGACCGCAGCATTGTGCGGAGATGTGCTTCGGACTGTCTCAAAGACAAGGCAGGTATGGCACACAAAACTGACTCGTGGATGCTACGGCGCACAAGACGAGGTATGCTTTTGCTCAGAAAGGCACCGACAACACTGCAAGTGCGGGCTGCAAGGATTATGCGAAGAGTAATCAGTGAAATGCTGGTGCTGGAGACGATGTGGGGTGTATTCTGAGGGAAACCCCCCCTTGTTCCGATGGTAGCTGTTCTTTTCCCTTTGAAACCGACCAAAACAAACAAAGGCTGCGCAGCCAAGGGCCTTCCGCTGGATTCATAGCGGGTGTTGGGTGCAAGGGTGTCAGTTTATTCAACTGGGTCCCCCACTAGACCAGAAAGTCGTGCATATTGCAAACCCCCCTGCCTGGCCCTGCTTTTTCATGACCTCACAGCACAGAATCGACTGAACAGCACACACTGCAACAAGCAAGCCCTCGTGTGGCTCGTGAGGGAAGCCAAAAACCAAACACGTTTTGAGAAACGCCCAAGGCAGTTGACTGACCGCGAAGCTGGAAGATGTCATGCATGGTGCTATGCATAAAAGAAGTAACTTGGTATGAACCTGACTTGGGGACCAAAACATGGAATTTGCGTCCGCAAACCATTGTGCAGTGTGCCTCAATACAAGTTCATGGCCCACTAAGATGCTAGCTTTCACTTCATCGCTCAGCATCGACAGAAGGCTCTCGGGCTCCTGTGCCACATACAAAATTGGTGAAAGTTCGAGCACAAGCAATGCAACCCCCATGACAAGCTCACACTGCACAGAACCAGCATCTTGCCTGGGCCTTCTTGTTGCTGACATCCTCCAAAACAGCACAGTGGCGCAATATTCCAAAGATCTCCCAAACTGATCCCTATGCCAACCCTCCCCCCTCAAAAAACAAAGCTCTCATTTAGAACTTCCTTGCCCCTCATCTCCCTCATCTCCCTCATCTCCCTCATGTCCTGCAACATGAGGGTTTAACCGAATAGATTCGGGGATCTGTTTGCGAAACCGGTGAAGCGGACGCGAAAGCTTGCTGGTGACCGCCTCCTTGGATGGCGTCTCCGAGATCTCCAGCAAGGAGAGACCCTTGGCCTGGCCAAGCAAATCCATCTAAGAGAAATATGTGTATATATATATATACATTAGACATATATATATATATAGCAACATATATGTGCGTATATATATATAGTAACATATATATATATATATATATATATATTGTGCGCTTGTAGGCACTTTACCCCCAAGGGAAACCTTGGCTGAAAATTCCCGCAATGACTGGAGGCTTCATGTCCAAGACTTCCTCTGAAGGGGGTGGTTTGGGGGTGTGGTTGCTCTTAGACAATCCCTCGCGGGCCCTCTTGAGGTATGAAAGCCCATATCCAGCGGAGCTGAGCCGCAGCGTGCAAGTCAACATGCTACTGCTCGCACGTAACACTTGCAACGGTTCATGTCAATGATCGGAGCTGTGGTGATGGCGAAGTGTTACAAGTACCGGCGCAAGCAATGGCATGTGCAATCACAGCAGCCCAATGCTGGCGATAGCGCTTGGGAGGTGATCTTGTTTAGTGCGCGCGTTGCAGCGGCAACAACTCACAAACATAGACGGTAGATGTAGCTGACGGAGAAGCAAAAAGAGAGAGGTGGAAAGTGGCAGTAGGAATTGCAAGGCTCGTCCTTGGCTCTTGAAGTGTCAGCTGCGGCCAGTGCAGCAGCTCTTGTCCCATCTCAACTAGTGGGTGATATCAGCCTCCGACTAAAAATGGACACGGCCAAAGGATCAAAACCTACAAATGTACTAAGAAACACTGAAGCCCCCCCGCATCTCCAGCCCCGATGCACCTCCACCTGGTCCGATTTCAGGACTTCCAGGTCGTCCGCCTCAAGCTGTTCAGGGTGACTGGAAGACCGGAAGTGGATGTCCAAACAAGAGCATGTTTAGCACATGTTCGGGGTTGTCCATCAAACCACGTCTGAGGGTTTTGACTTTTTGGTTTGGCCAAGTGAATTGCTCAAGTTTGAAGACCTTTCAAAATAAGTTCATGGTCCGGCCATCTGTCGTGGCTACCAGATTCAAGCACACACGATCTGCCAAGCTTGAATTGCTCAATGATGTGTATATGTGTATGTGTATGTATATATAATATAATATATATAATATAATATAATATAATATAATATAATATAATATAATATAATATAATATAATATAATATAATATAATATAATATAATATAATATAATATAATATATATAATATAATATAATATAATATAATATAATATAATATAATATAATATAATATAATATAATATAATATAATATAATATAATATAATATAATATAATATATATAATATAATATAATATAATATAATATAATATAATATAATATAATATAATATAATATAATATAATATAATATAATATAATATAATATAATATAATATGATATAATATGATATATATATATATATATATGTGAGTACATGTGTATACACATACGGTAGCCCCCTGAAGTCACGGCTGCTAAGAGCTTTTGTTTGGGCACTTCTGGAACGAACTGTGACTCTAAAAAGAAGCTTGATGCAGCCAGGATTGAAGATTCAACATTGCCTTGAGACTCCTGGGAATCTTGCAAGGGTAAGGAATCAAAACTAACTTCCCAGGAGTGCCTGGCAATTTGAGTTGGAAGTACTCCAAGTTTCTCTCCAAAGGAGACGAGCCAGACACGGAGAGAAGTGACTGAGCGACTGCCCCCGGGCTTTGGCCTTGCTATCATCCGTCTTTGCCAGGGACTCCTCCAGGAAGCTCTGCCCGGCAGTGAGCTGCTCCTGCGCCAGATGCCCCGACCGTGCCCCGAAAGGAACAAGTCACCCTATTTCAAGAAAATCGCAGTCCAGCCAGTCACTTGCTGGGTAAGCGGCGAATTCTTAGGGAAGAAGTTCTTGGTGTCTCGTTCCGGAGCATTTGAGAGCCTTTCAATTTACACAGCACTTGGCTTCAGGAGCCCTTGGAACGAGGACTTGTCTCATCCAGGCCAAAACAAAACAAAGGGAAGCCCTGTTTGATGATGCAATGTTTGATGCTTCCAAACAGGGAAATGTAGCAACAGTGCTGCGGTTCGCCAGTTCTGGCATTTTGAGACGTGGCAGCACACTCTCATTGCTCGCGGTCTCTCCTGCAGCATCTTCAGCTCCCCGTGACGCAAGGAGTTGCCCTGCGTGTGGCACAAAAAGATGTGGATCGAAGATTTTCCCAACAAACAAACCCCACAGCAGCAAAAAAACGCGGAAGCCTTAGGATCTGTTTACCCAGATTTGCCTTTCCTTTGGGGGTTGCCCTTGAGGGGTGTGGCCCGGGGAAAGCTTTTTTATAAGAGCATTGATGCACAACGACGACGTGGGGCTGCAACGTGTCAGGCAATACCATCGTTGCCGGAAGAAGGGCGTGATACAGCTGAGCCACTTGAAAATTATGGCATCAGACTGATCTCGTGGTCCAACCAAAGCTCGTGGGAAACGATTGAAAGGGAGATGTGTGTGTTCCACAACTAGACTGTCGCCGATTCTATCCTTCATCTTCACAGAGTTGTTTCCAAATTAGCGGCCTCCAAAGAATGCTCGTTTCTCTTGGTGTTTTTTGAAACAGCCCAAAACAGAAGGCCCTGAACAAACGAATCTGATGGTTGGCTCAGCCTGAGCACTGCTCCAAGCACCGCACCTTCTGCAAAGCCTGGGCGTGCTGCAGCAGCTCTTCGTTGGCCTCAAACCCCAAGAGCTGGTCCAAAAATCAGGAAAAAAAACAAGAGCTGGAGCCGCTGGAGCCGGTTAGGATCCCGCGTTCTTCATGTCCATGATGCGTTTGGCCATCACCGCGTTCTCCTGATAACGCCACGGTGAAATTCGGCTTTGGTTCCAAACATGAACATGGGAGAAGTAGGAAATCGGCAAATGCCCTGTTTTCTGGGGTTCTCCCAAACTGGATATGCTCAATAGGCTTCGGTTCCCCTTTGACTTCCGGTACACCAACCCCAAGATACCCTGAAGATGTCCTGTTGGGTGGTGAAGCCCTCGGTGTTTAAGGGCCTAAGATACAAACTCATACAGTATTGGTTGCTTTTGACATCCCATCCCATGAGGTAAGGTGGTGCTCGAAGCATCTCAGAGATGGCAGATCGTGCAACTGCTCATATGGGATCCAAAGTACTTCCAAACATTTCACCTAACATCGAAGCTGACAGGAGGCCCCTGAAAAACCTTCTGGTGGCTTAAAATTTGGTGGAAGGATATTCTGATTGAATGCAAGCTTTGAACAACCTGCCAAACATCCCGACTAGCAACACATTCAGAGGGCTAGTTGTAAGCGAGCCCTGCCACCCTTCCGTACTCAGAAAATAAACACATTATGAAAAAGGCTCCTCTACTGGGGTTACGCCCCCGCCATTCCAGACATTGCTTAGGGGGTGGGGATTGCTGTGCATTGTGTGGGTTCTGCAACCTGTTGCGTGTGAGCGCAAATGCTTCTTTGCCAGCTAAGATGCCTGCCTTTCATGTTTCTGCACATGTTTGCTCTCCAACTTCCCGTGCACTGTATTCATGTTACGGGTCACGTCCTATGGCATGTTGTACATCAAGTCCCACGCCCATGCCATGTTTCACTCTGCATGCTTTGCAGTACTCATGTCATACAATCACAAGGGCTGCTCTCGCTAGCTCACTCTGCAATTAGCCCTGCTGGTCTTCGGTCCGCTTTTCACTTCGACCAATCTTCACGCTCGACCCTTTGGTTCTCAACTAGATCCATGTGCTCGCGGCCCGGCACCCGAGCACGATGCTTTCGTTTCGGTCCTTGACCACGTCCAAGTTCTTCTGCTCCTGCTCCTGCAAAGGCAACCATGCACGAAGGCTTGATCAAATGTCTTTGTGGGAAAGAATCTGACTCAGATGGACAACTTCTCAGATACCTGAGCAAACACTTGCACCGGGCTCAGACGACTCACAACTAATTCGACCATGCACGCAAATTGAGGCCTTCTTCAACAAACAAAACGAAACAAACCAAACAAACAAAAACGAGCCGACAGAAAGACAAACAAACAAACAACTAAACAAACAAGCAAACAAATGGGGAAGACAAGAAACTAACACACGCACACACACACAGCCAAAGAACAAAGACAAACAAGGAAAAATGCACAAACCAAAGCACAAGAAGAAGAAGAAAAAGAAGATGAAAAAGACAAACAAATACAATCAAAGCAAAAACAAAAACAGATATAAACAAACGACACTTACAAGCACAAACAAACAAACAAAAAGTCAAACAGCCAAAAACGGAAAAGCTAACACTGGCAACATGAACAAACAAACAACACAGAAATAAACGAGAACAGAAAAAGAAAAAGAAGAAATCCAAAACAAACAAAGGCAAGCAACCACCCAGCCAAACAAACAAGCAAACAAACAAAGACAAATATTAACAAACAACCACAGACCCAAACAAAAACAAACAAACATAAACAAAATCAAACAAAGACAACAAAATCAAGCAAAGAGAAACAAACAACCAAACAAAGAAACACGAATCTTCTGTTGCAGGGAGAAGGTCTTGGTTGGCTCCAAGGTTCCAAGCATCCAATCAAGCCGGCCATGTCAGTCTGAGGGAGGTCTGCCTGGTTGTTTTTTTCTGGTTTAGGATGAGATTGGCTCGGAGAGTAATCCTCGGGAGCAACACTTATATTTGCAGGATGGCAAGAGGAGAACCCTGGTCAGAGGGTCAGTGCTTTTCAGACATCGTTTACCCACAAGTCTCATTTGACCCCTCTTTTGGTCCCATTCAGGTTGACCCTCTATTCTTCCAATGTGGGAATAAAAGGAACGGATAGCAAAGCGCCTGGTTGGTTTTGTCTGTGGGTGCCAGTCCTTGAGCTTACGGTCGAAGACCGCCTTTTGCCGCTGCATGCGCGCAGCATTCTCCTGCTGAACCTGTCCGGGAAAGCAAAGTGGCATCTCTATCCTTCAGATTGAAATCAATGAAGTTGTCACACGAGTTGGTCTCCAATTTGGGGGAGTTTAGACCAAGGCAATCTTGTTGGAATGCCTTGCCTTGCAACACCCAAGCACACAGGTGGCTTGGACTGTCTGCTTGCATTCGTCACAGAGCAACGCCACATCCCAACGCACAAAGTGAGCTACAGCTGCATTCAGACGGATCAAGGTTTGCTCGATATCCCAATCTACTCAGCTTCGGAAGCAATGTATACGCATGATACACCGAAACATTGGTGCTTAAATTAAATGGTTGGAGAAAAACGACTTGCCGAGATCCAAGCATAAAGCGAAAATGCGACAGCACCGACCCCGAACTGTCCAATGTCAGTGCCAGGTGTAGCCTCAAGCATCTGCTGCTGGAGTTTCTGCGCTTGGCTGCTGATGCCTCCCAAGTACTCGAAAAACGTCTTGCATGTCAATGCAATTTGCAGCTAAGGCCAGGTCCGCTCAAGGTGTGGGTCGACTCATCCAGCATTGCCGACACCGTAGGGAGCTCGGGAAAGCCACTCTTCCCGGCCTGGATGCGCGGATCAAATCTGTGAAGCGCTGAAAACCGGGAAGAGAGACCTTGGGAAGTTTGGGAAAGCAAGAATTGCTGCGACTCAAGTGTTTGAGTCGTTTAGCTCCTTCAATCAGAACCCAAGGAAAAAGACTCGCTTTTGGCAAACACTCCCTTTTGTCTTTGCCACCTTCATTGATTCGGGGTCAAAGCTAGTGAGCAACTTTTGGATAAGCCCGGTGTTGCTCAGATTCTAGGCACCCCCACATCTGCAACGCTTGGCACCTGAGGCACGTCTCGCCGCAGCTTATTTAGCAGCAACTGACTTCTGCAGGATGTTAGAACCGCTGAACATATCCCAAGCGGGTCACCTGACGGTCACCTGACGGTCACCTGATTCCAAGCTCTGAGTTCGAACCAGCTCAGTGTCGGGCTGCAGGCAAAGGCACCTGCAACGGACAATGCCCCAAGCCATGCATCGCCGAGAGAAGCACGAGTAAGTCAAATAATCCATCAAATAGCACACACAAGACGCTTCTACCTGCGCTGGCCCAAAGCGCTAAAGCGCTGGCCTGGTTTGGGTCTGGCGGAGACTCTTTGTCTGCAGCCTGGCAAAACATAGACTTGGAGTACCGCACTCTCGCATCTCCCCAAAATTATTCAAGTGAGGAACAAAATCAACCTTCTGTTGTCCCATGATGTAATTAGTTCATCTCGCAGTCATTGGGGAATCAACCGTGTGTCACAAACGTCGGAGCGTTTAGCCGCCTCAATGACAACAGCCTCCAACCGCGGCACCAAGCAGAATGCAAGCGTCAGCGCCACCTTCATTGCCTGAGTCAGACGGAGGAAAAGTTAAATGGATCGCATCATTCAGCAACATGAGGGTTTTGGTCACTCCCAAAACGTCAAATACAAAAAACAACAAATAATGCAGCAAGTTGCTTCTGACAAGGCAGCAGAAGCCTTGGTTTGAGCCCAAAAAATGTGGCCAATCTGGGGCCAGCAGCAACGATGCATGGCTTGCACTTGCACACACAAAAGCCAGCAAACCCTCGCCGAAGGCGTGCTTCCAGCCATTGTTTCCCTGACACTATGGTCCAAGTTGCTGCCTAGGATGTGGTTTCCCTTCATTGAATCTAAGTAAACAATCGTGCAAAACACTCCGCCTAAGTCATTGAGTTTGCCAATGCTGCTGAAGAACACAGCCATAAACAACGCCAAGAGCAACGCCAAGAGCAACGCCAAGAGCAACGCCAAGAGCAAATTGCGAACCACATTCACATCGGTTTTTGTTGTCGGCCGATTCTGCCAACATCCAGATCTTGAAAAGCTTCCGGCACAAGTTTCTGCGGTCTGCTCAATCACAAGTGTCCCAAATCGGACACGGAAAATGGGGATTGTAAGAAGACGGCAAGGGTTTGTGAGAACCGCCACTTGTAAGCGAGAGTCGTTTTTAATCTGATAAATTTGCCAAGTGTGAAACTGCAAACGCTAGAGTTAAAGGCCCCGCGCGCTGCTCCTAGCCTCAAAACACAAAGAACCCAGAACCCAAAAGCCGACTGCAAGGCGCACACTTTTTTTACCGGGTTGCTTGGGAAGGTGGCACTTTCCTGGGGCACTGCGTGCACCTAGGACAAGGGGCGAGAGCTGTGAAAAACAATGTTGCAAGACAAGCGTGTCCTTGCTTAAAGGGGAGCGTGGCATGCGTGCCCACGCCCGCTGCGGGTCCAAAGGCGCAAACAGGGCCAGACGGGTCTGTACGAAGCTGAGTGCGCTCCCAGTTCTGGCAGGCTCCTGGATGGCGCCGCTGTACACCGACCTTCACAGCCCGCCAGGCCTCCATCCAGCCGCAATTGTGGCCGGCCTTTCGGAAATCTTTAAATAAAGACTTGAGAACTGGCAGCAGCCTGCCAAGCCTTTGGATTTCGGCGGTTCCAAAATTTTGGAAATCGCGGGCAGCACCGTCCGTTGCCTTGAAGACATCCCACGCATTCCAGGCACCAGCAAGCCTACGTGGGTCTGCATAGCCGACCCAAACAACCCTTTCACCGCCTCTCCAAAGCCAGCCAAGCAGAGGCCTGCGCTGAAGACCTAGTTGGTTGGGCGGTCACATCCTCGCAAGTGGTGTGGTTCGCAGAAACCTGGACCATGCAGATGTCCGTCAATGTGGCCCTGGTTTTATAAGCTGCGCAGCGCTACATCGCGTGCTTCAAGACGCTAGCTGGCGCTTCTCCAGGCTACGCATAGCCACATTGGGGGCGGGCACTCGTTTAGCATGCCCTTAGGCACTGACAACTTGGCAGCAGAAGCAGGCATTAACAAGATGTTCGCAACATCTTGGCCTTTGCAGATTTTTGTGCAGCTTGTCGCCTCTTGGGCGCATGCAAAAAACGTTCTTCTGCAACCGACTTACCTGCCGGGGCAATGAGTGGGCGGACGATTTGAGCAGAAGTTGCCTTGGGCGCTTCCACCGCCTGCGGATCGCGTGCGTTTCAGCCCTGCCGGCCTTGCACAGGCAGGGAAGGGCATCACACTCTGCCCCGCAGCAGTGCCGTGGCGCCCAGAACATCTGGCCCCCGGCACACGTGGCTCAACGGGCCCGACAAGTTTCGGAAAGCCAGTGTAGCCTCCAGCCGCACTCGCTTTCTCGCCCCTTGTCCTAGGCCTAGGAAAGTGCCACCTTCCAAGCAACCGGTAAAAAAGGTGTGCGCCTTGTTCTTTGTGTTTTGAGGCTAGGAGCAGGACCTTTAACGCTAAGGGTTTTCTTTTTGTGTTTTTAGGTCGGGTAAATCTTCTGCGCCATTTGGTTCAAACTCACATTTAGGACTCGCAGTCCTGGTTTTGTTTGAAACCCGCCTACCAGGTGGAATAGAATCCATTTGGGAAACCCCTTTAGAGAGAGCCTTAAGATAACTCAAAATTGACTCAATATTGACTCAACAATGAAGCCTCCACCCTGCCGCGCCACCTGCCTGGCGAAGCCTCCACCCTGCCGCGCCGCATCGAAGCCTCCACCCTGCCGCGCCACCTGCCCGGCATCAAAGCCACGCCGGCCTGCCGAGTCATACGAATCAGACGGATCACACGTCATACGGTCATACGGTGGCTTGGCACTTCGGGTACGCGCCGCCGGGTATCGAAGCCTCTGCCTGGCATCGAAGCCTCCAGCCTGCCGAGCCGCGCCACCCGAGGTCGGACTTCGCTTTCCCACCGATCGGAATTCTCCCACCAAGGTCGGCATTCCGACTTCGCTATCTCTCTCTCTTTAGAGGGGGTTTCCCAAATGGATTCTATTCCACCTGGTAGGCTCCTGACACTCGTCCGTCCAGGAAACGACCTCGTCCTGCGAAGGATTCGAAACCTAAAACGCTGCGTGCAGGCGTGTGGCTGCAACATAACGACCCCGAGATACGCTTGCAATTTGGCTCCAGGTTGCATTTCAAGCGAGCCAACCTTTGCAGGGCTGAGAAAAAACCAAAAAAAAAAAGGAAAAAAGGGGTCCCCAAAAGAGGGGTCCCGAAAAACAGGGAAAAGGGGTTTCCTTTGGCAAAGCTTGACATCGCTTGAAATGCAACCTGGAGCCAAATTGCAAGCATATCTCGGGGTCGTTATGTTGCAGCCACACGCCTGCGCGCAGCGTTTTAGGTTTCGAACCCTTCGCAGGACGAGGTCGTTTCCTGGACGGACGAGTGTCAGGAGCCTACCAAGTGGAATAGAATCCATTTGGGAAACCCCCTCTAAAAAAAAAAGGTTGCTAATATTGATCCATGGTTGACTCTCGTTGCCGCAATATTGATTCAATATTGCTCCATGGTTGAATGTCGTTGCCGCAATATTGATTCAAAATTGATCCAAAAACGGCCTCGAGGCGTGTACGCCAACCTGCCGAGCCGCGCCTCTCACACGCCAAGCCGCCGAACCCCCACAGTCCCCCGGCTCCTTGCTATATGTGCTATATGTGTTATATGGATCTTACACGCCAACCTGTGGAAGCCCCACAGTCCCCCGACTCCTTGCTATATGTGCTATATGTACGATATGGCTCTTACACGCCAACCCACTGAACCCCCACACTCTCCGGGCTCCTTGCTATATGTGCGCGTGGAGAAGTCCTTCAACGCCAACTTTTAGATTGGCTTTTCAACAAGGCTTACCTCAACATGACTTTGATTGGGATGCCGAATGCCTTTGGGCGCCTTTTCTGTTTGATGAAGTTGCTTTTGCTTGTTGCTTGCGGATTCCACTTGCTTGAACATTTGTGTCGCTTTGTCACATGCGTTGGTTTCCATCGCTTGACATTGTCTGCTTCTTCCGCACTCATGCGGTTTGTATGCCTAACGCAGCTGTTTGGGCCCTACTTTCATTGCGACCCCCTTTTTCGCTTATCACGTCGTGGTTGGAATGGCGCCCTGATCCTCGACAACCGGATGCTCAATGGCTTAAAGTTTTTCATCCTGGTCCTTGGATGCAGAGTGGCTTCAACGATGACCGACCGCCTCAATTTGCCTACAGGGAGTGGAAGGAGTGCCCCAAACAGGTCCATGCAGCCGACGGAACGCCTACCGCAGTGCATTCACGGCACAAGCGTGATTGGGTCGCTGACGGGTTTCGTCGGATCAATGCCATGATCAGCATCGTAATGCTCCAAGGTGGAGAAGTTTGCCCTCAACTCCTGACGCGCCTTCAGGATTACATTCAGCGTGATGTAGCTGCGCGTGACAACCAAGATACATCACTTATTGCTTGAGCCAAACCCTGAAGCGCGCGCGTGTACACCCATCACACACGCGCGCGCACCATAGACCATCCAGCGTGGCAAACATGGGCGAAGCCCTCTAAGCCATACAAAAGACACAGCACGTGGTGACACTCTTTTCTTTTCTGCGTCGATGGGGAGTCAGATCATAAAAAGGGGAAAGGCCACATGCCGTCACATCATGTTCAGGGCACATCGCCCAAAGATGGCTCATAGCCATCAGCATCTTTGGCTTCTTCAGGGTGGGCAGGGTGGGCAAAACCGCATTGGGCTTTCCAAGAAGGGGGGGAACCCACCCACCTCAGCCCTGCAGCACACATGCAAACGTTCAGACATGTCCGTTGGACGTTTGCACAAAACACGTAACACAAAACACATGTCATGTTACAAAAAGGGGGGGTTCGGCTTTTGCAAGAAGGACTCATCCACCTTTGGTAGAATTCCGTCTTATTGCTTGAGCCAAACCCTGAAGCGCGCGCGTGTACACCCATCACACACGCGCGCGCACCATAGACCATCCAGCGTGGCAAACATGGGCGAAGCCCTCTAAGCCATACAAAAGACACAGCACGTGGTGACACTCTTTTCTTTTCTGCGTCGATGGGGAGTCAGATCATAAAAAGGGGAAAGGCCACATGCCGTCACATCATGTTCAGGGCACATCGCCCAAAGATGGCTCATAGCCATCAGCATCTTTGGCATGCTTTCTCTTCCCCCTTCGTATCTCACGCATGCCAAACTTCTCCCACAACGACCGCAGGTTCAACTCATCATACATTCCAAGTGAGACATCTTGGTCACTGCCCCTTGAGGGCTCATCTGCCAGGTTTGACGCAGTATTAACTCGCTCAAACCAAAAGTTGCATCCATAGCGTTCCTCCAACTCGCACAAGTTTTGCACGAGGTGGTTTCCAACTGCATTCTTGCTTATGCATTTGATGCAGGTGCCGACAGCACCCTCATTGTCGGAAAAAATCAAAACACTCATGCCAGAAACATGATCAGCCCAGAGATCCACAGCCGAAACAATTGCATTCATTTCCAGTTCATAAATAAGCTTCTCGCTCTCAGTCAGATTCCAAAGCGCCACATCCGTGGCATCCATCATCTTGCTAAAAAATCTCCTCTTGTTGGACTCAGGGAATACCAGGATGCCCCCCAGGCCAGCTGGCATCTCACTCCTCTCTTCATGACAAGCATCCACATACAAATGCACCGCTCTGGACATGCGATGTGTAA